TGCTTGGCCTGCAAAAGCCTCACAGTACAAGGTGCGTGCACACCGACCTGACCCTCTGATAAAAGCAATACAGGAACTCACTCCCAAAGCACTTTAAGGCCCACCCATGGCCCACAACAAGGGACTTTCCCAAGGCAAAAAGGTGTTCTGCGAGAGGTGGAGCGGAGAACGGAATGAGAGCAAAACCCCATTCATTTCAGCCCGCATGGAACAGCCTAACAGTATATAGAATATATCATCCGCGTGAATGAAGACATGAATCTGTACGTTTGAAAAAGAGGAAGAGCAGGGAAGCAGAGTACAGTGCTGGGGGCAAGGAGAAGAAAGAAAAAAAAGGTTAAGGTACAATAAAACTCAGAGGGAGAAAATGAACACCAGAAAGTTAAAAAAAAGAAAGTGACCTGGCAATGCCTAGCAGCAGCAGCACATGCCGACAACCACAGATGCAGATGGGGCTGTGCTATAAACTCGGAGTGATGCCACGAGGCACAGGGGTACAGGTCTCGGCAGGGAGGTGGCAAAAGGGCCAGGCGGAAGCACTGCAGGTTGGCTGTCACCATCTGAACACCAACAAGCTGACCGTTAGAACAAAACATCCTTTGGCATCCTCTTTGGGACTTATCCATTCCAGCTCCTGCCTGGAGATCGCAATACAGCTACGCAGCAATGCTTCGAGACGAAAAGACCAGGTAGCCCCAGAAAAGGTGTGATCCCAACCCAGGATCCTCTGCCTGGCATCCCACAGAGCCAGGAGTCAGCTGGGTGAACTATTTGACCTGACCCGGTACCAATTCGACCTTTACACACCCTTGTATGAGAGACGTACCCAGTCCGTGGCCTTCTTAAATAAGGATGCTTCTGTCACACACCGACATTAATTAACACGCTACTCTGAGCAATGTGTCATAGGAAGTCAAGTTCTAAAGAGTGTGGCTGGTTCCCTGGGGCTGGTTTTGGTCCCATATTTAGAGAGACCCAGGGCTATTTTTGGGCAGGAGCGCACTGGAACGGAGTTCCGGCTGGCTTCAGAGTTGGCCACGCCCACTACAGCCAAAACCTCTGCGTTCCTGGCTACAGAGGGGAAGGCCTGGAGAGCGGACCACCACCACCCTGCTTCACCATGCCTTCCCCAGCCTGTCCAAGGGCCGGCTTGCCCGGGGCTCCCCACAGCTGCGGGTGCCCAAGGAAGCCAAGGAAGGCAGTTTAAACTGCCTTCCCTTCCCTGCAAGGGGAGGCTTGCCCGGGCTCCCCACAACCGCAGGGCGCCCGGGCAAGCCAAGGGAAGGCATGGGGTGTGACCTAATATGCTTATAAGTTGTGCTATCATGGGTGTGGCCTAATATGCTAATTAGTTTCTGCTGTTGGGTGTGGCCTATTATGCTAATGAGTTCCTGATCTGCTTTTTGTACTAAAAAAGCCCTAGAGAGACCGACTTCTTCCTGGATAAACTATGGCTGGGCAAAAGGGGTCAGTGGAAGGCTTGACTTTTTCCTCTGGGCCCCATGAGATTTTATTCTAGATTTGCCTCTGGCATCATCCCACACAGCTGCTGAAGGCCCGCTAGAGGGATGCTCTTCAACTCTCCCATCTCCCTCCCTTCTTGGTGCTGAGATTTGCAATGTCCTCCAGAGCTTTCCTTTTTGGTTTGTGTGAAGTTATGGCAAATGGAACCTAGTGCACTCCCTAAGCAATGTCTGTGAGAATAAGTAAAAATGGGTTTATTTATAAAATTCCTGGTTATATCACATACTCATCACTCATCCAATCTGAGAGGGTTTTTGGTGCAATCAGATGTCAAACTGCAGCTCAGATTCAGGATTCATGACCTGAAGAATCATACCATAAGATGCTAGAACTGCCTCCTTGCATGTGCTGTTTTAAACACGCTGGGATGACAGGTCCCCTTTCCCCTAAGTGAGAAGTCTTCCTCACTTAGCAGAAGGGAAGCGTTAGCTCCAAGCATTTTTGCCACCCTCCGCTTCCAGATTATGCTGGCTAGCATCCTACACGAACAGTGCCATCCTAAACAGAATTTTACCATTTGAAGTTCAGGGACTTCAGTCGATGTGGCAGGGCATAATTCTGCTCGAGACTGTACTGGACGAGTGCATACTTGCCGAGAATATTGTTTCCTAAACTTCTGATTAACAGAAACACAGCGTGTTGCTCAGAGTCAAAATTCACTTCGGTCATGCTTGAAAAGGTTTACTTCTAGACTCTGTACATAGAGAAGCTCACCCACTTATGCTTCTCCGTGAATCACTGCTCTGAGCATGCGTCTGTGGCTGGGAGTTTTATCACTCACTTGCAGCTTGCTGGCATTTCTCTAAGCACACACAGTTTAGGAACTGCAGGTCAGGATTCATGCCTACAGGTCATGTTCCCTCTAAGCTGATGTTCCCTCTAGCTCACAGTTTTTTAGCCTCCAGCTCACACATTTTTGTCTTAGCGCAGGAAGGAAGGCTCCAGGGCAAACTAATTGATGCAGCAGCCAAATAGTTCGCTCACAACTTTAATGTCAGAAGCTCACAAAGTAGAATTATTGCTCACAAAGACCCCACAGCTTAGAGGGAGCATTGGTCAGGGGTCTGCTCCTACACCACAGAGTTTACCATTTTAGGACTTTCGAAGATGCTTGATTGAACTACCCGATTGTCCAGCAAAGAATTCTCATCAAATTACCATCCCTAGGACTCTTTGGGGGAAGCTAGTACCATTTCTGCAGTAGTGAAATTCCCCTCATTGATGTTTTTAAAACTGTGCGTTATGTGAAATTTTCCGCAGTAGATTTTTCCTCATCAGGGGCAGACCCGACGTTTTCTCCTTCTTACCCCGCGTTTTCGGAACTCGTTAAAACTGAGGATTCCGAAAATGTGGGGTGGGAAGGAGAAAACTGCGGGTTTGCGCCTGGTGAGGAAAAATCTACTGTGGAAAATGTCACATAAGGTGCAGTTTTTTTAAAAAATGTCAATGCGGGAAATTTCACTACTGTGGAAATGGTCTAGGTATGTTTCGCCTGGAGAGGAGATGACTGAGAGGTGACATGATAACAATCTTCAAGTACTTGAAGGGCTGTCATATAGAGGACGGTGCAGAGTTGTTTTCTGTTGCCCCAGAAGGTTGGACCAGAACCAACGGGTTGAAATTAAATCAGGAGAGTTTTCAGCTAAACATTAGGAAGAACTTCCTGA